TAGAATTTCCATATCTTAGGAATTCTTGCCAGTTTAGAGCCTATAGTGATAGTGGCTCTACAGTGGCAGCAGTCCACCCTTAATGGAAAGGTGCCCAAAGGGGAAAAGAGGAACTGCAAAGGTGAAATCATGTACAAGGAACAAAATATGCCAAAATGTAAAGGGAGAAAGGGAAATGAGAACAACACTACGGTAGAACAAATTCAGCTCAGATGTCAAATGATCAAGCAATTTAGCTGAAAGAGAGTCTCAAAATTGCTACTGCTGTGACAGCCAAAGTGAGGGGAAAGGAGTACCCTCTAGGCATACATAAGAGGGAGCTGGGTGGGCTTCCCACCTGATAGTCTCAGCTCTTGAGGTTTCTGATGGAAGCTCTGCTCAAGTGCTGGACCTGTATGTGTGATGCAGAGAGACCACAAAGAATCTGGATTCTTGAAAAAGTTTCATATTACCAATATATCAAGAACTTTGGCTGAGGACATGTTCTACTAATCCTCACCATCTGAAGTTAGGAATTTGGACATATGGCACATGAGCCACCCCATACAGCCTTTGAGACTCTCTCCTTTGGGATGCCTACCTGGTTCCTTCACTCCTAGACTTTTGTTTTTTTGGTTGGGGAAGGATAATTGGAAACTATTATGCTTCTTGTTTGTTCTACCAGCTTTATTTTTAACTTTTATTATATTTTATCAATCAGAAAATTACTGTTTTCAGATATTGGCTTTGAAGTATATTTGGTATCTATTTTGTAAATGCTTTGAATTTTGCTGAAACAGGAAAATGGGATATTATTGTTTTAAAATCAATGAATAATGTATGATTGAATGAACAAATGAATGTTGAGGCTGTTGCAGTTATTACAAGCACTATACCAAACTGCTATTTCAAGTAAAGTAGATGGATAAAGTCAAATGATTTCTTACAGCTTACCTTCACGTGCACAAGCTTTGGCACACTACAAAAGGTCTGGGTAGTGTTAATCTGCCTTTACACCCTGCCTCACAACATCTCTCTCTGTGCTTTGTCACATGCTGCCTTGTTCATGTGTTAGGCCTCCAGATATGCCAACATTGTGTTGATCATTGGTTGTAGGCTAGTGGAATAATCCAACACAAAGTGGAAGGCAAAGAAACTGCTGCAGAACAGAGTTCATAGCCAACAATAATCACAGACCACTGTCCCATTTATCTGCATGTGCCTAGTTGTACATTGGTGAAAGAGTACAAATAGTTGCTCACCCATGTCCCTTAATATGTCCTTGCATACTACTGTTGTTTTAATTGTATTGCATTGCAGCAGCAAGCAAAGCAAACTTCAGGCCTTCGAGTTTATAAGCAGATATACTATAGTCAACACTGTTAAGTTAATGTTACCAGTCTGAATGTGCAGGATGTACACATATGATTCATTTCTTATAAGCCTGTAACAAGGGAAGTGAGAAGAATCTGGTTCAGAGGTCAAAATTCAGCAGATTGGTCCTGCTTGGTCCCCCTAGATTCTTGCCTGTCAACTGAATGGTTGTGCCAACTTGACCTGAAGCAAGTCAAGCCAACATGAGGATTGCTGTTTTTAAAGATTGCCAGGACTTGTGAGTTTTTTGTTTTTGTTTTTTAGAGCCTGGGAAATTTGCATGAGGTTCACTTGCAATTTGCACTAATTATGTACAAATTTAATGCAAATTTCCCTGGCTTTGAAAAATAAAGTAAAATAGAAGCGATGAAACAAATTGTGTCCTGCTTCTAAAGTAGAAACCACAAAAAATTCCCCTGACTTGGCCTGCTTGGTGCCATAAATCTGCCGAGTGCAAGCAGTTCAACTTGCTAAGTGTTGGCAATCCATACCTACAACACAATGAATGATTTCATTCCAACTTCATATCAAGCCCACCACATTTGTTAACCATTTTGATTATTTGACAGGGAAATGAGTGTATTAACAACAGAAATCTTGCCCTCTTGAATTAGGGAAGATTTTCCCCTCATTTTGTTGTGTCAGCACTGACACAACATAACAGTGCAAAGTAGCAACCAAGCATAGCTCCCACTGGAATAACAAATACATTGAGACAAATATAACTTCAAGTGGCAACCTTTAAGTCTAAGATGGTAAAATATATTGAAGAAGGAAAGGAAGAGAATGGCTTGTTCCATTCTGTATAGATAGATAAATAATATCCTGCAGGTAAATAACAGAATGGCTTTAGGTAATATTGAGAATGTTAATTGTAGTCTAAGTTTATAAAACAATAAATAGGTACAGAACACTTTAAAAAGATCTTTTCCCATATTGATGTACAGTAAAGGCAGCTCAGCCCTACCAGAATCGGTAAGGGTCACGGCTGGATTGGCTGGTCCTAAGACACACCCCTGAACAAAGTCCTGAAGGTGGTCGATAATTTCCTTCCTACTGCTTTCAATGGAAGGCATATCATTAAAGAAGAAGCAACAACAATAGCAAAACCAGGATGAATAAAAAAGTAATGTTCCTCTGCTACTCAGCGCTGCCAACATAAGGATGACATTTCACCCTGTCCTCCAAGGGAAAGCATATGTGTATATTTGAATTTAACATTAAGAAAACTAATTTCACAGCAACCATAAACTATGAACAAATTGGATGCTACATGTTCTTTCAGATTCAATTAGATTAGATCATTGTGTTTAGATCATTTATGCCTCTAAGAAATGCCTATGACTCCTGGCTGCATTTCCTGTTAGATGATCCACAACTTTGTCCAATATTGCCATTATATATACTATCATATAACCTTTCAAAGCTTTTTTCCTTCTTTTAACATTTCAGGAAAACATCCTTGGGTTAGTAAATTATCTTCTTTAACTTGAATCAATTAATAGCATTCTTCTACGGCAATAATATTAAGAAGATTACTATACATACTCACTGCTGCAAATTCTTTTTTAAAAAGATAGAACAGTACTTAAAAACAAACATAATTATGATACTCTATATGCTTTTCTCTTTTCAAATACAAGCACATAACCAGACATTGGAAACATATAAAACCAAGGCAATTTCCTTCAATGTCAATTTAATGAGGACTGATAGATCACTATGATATATTTCTGTTTTGACAGTATTACTGGTAAATTATGGGTTAAAGTGCAAATGAAGTTTTACAACAGTGGAAAGTCTACTAATAGATTGTAATGTGCTCGGCATTAATTTGAAAATGAGGATCTGCTTGTGAAAACTGATTTAATAATCATACCTTATGGTTCTTCATTTCTTATTTTTCTCTGCTATTTACTGGCAACTTGTGGCTCACAGGCATAATCTAGTCCACTTTTCATTCTATTGTCTAAATGCCATCTTTCTCTATCTGAATGTCCATATAACTTCTATGGTTCTTTTCCCTGCACATCTGCGACCTCTTTTAGGAGAGGAGGAAAGACCTATGCAAGTGTCTTTACAAGTGAATTATGAAAAAATGATGGGAATAATTTCACAATCATAGTGTGCAGCAAGCAAATACCATTGTTTGCCTGTAATGGCAAACCAAGTTTACAGTGAAGTATGAAGGGAGGGAATTACACCATGTGAATGAAGACAAGTATCTGAAGTTCATTCTAGAGTCATAGAATAGTCATGCCCACTTTCAAGACACAGGACTCACAGTGGTTTATTTAACCCATGATGAGTTGTGGTGTGTTTCAGATGTGATTTTGAATAGGTACGTATAGGGTTATGGTGTGTCGCATGCACCATACAAGGCAAGGATTAAAAACCCTTTTATAATCCATGATGGCTGGGTCCACACAACATCCTGCAACTTTATCAGGGATTTCACATTCAAAATGGCACATGGCACACACCACAACTCATCATGGGTTAAATAAACCTCTGTAAGCCCAGCTTGTTGTGCAGATCAGGCCAGTGTGGAGCTATAGCTGATGTTACATTTGAACAAAATCTATGTGGTGTTGGATTTATATGATCACACTGTACCAATTTTATTAAGGTTAAAGTTCAAAATTTTAACCAATTTTCGTATTATTAAGCCCTCAACTATTCATTTTCTATGTTAGCCTTTTTACACTGCCACAGAGTACCCACTGTATATCATCTCTATTACTTTTCATGTGCATTCTACATAGTTTCTGTTAAGTCTGAATCAGATAGACTGTAACACTACACATACAGAATCTTATTCAGCACCACTAGAGCTGGCTTTGCTACAGATCATCATTTTTCCATGGCCCTCCTGTGTGTCTTATTCCTACTAAATTCTTTCTGTACAGAGAGGTGCAATAGTGTTTACAGCATTTATAATTCAGTATTTCACTTTTAAATAAGAGTATAAAATTCTGATATTTGTGAGAAAAATACATTATTTCATACTAAACAAGATAAACATTAGTAGCCATTAACTACACATAAGGGATGCAAGCTATGTTAGAGTGCTTTATTTGCAAAATTTTGAATATGAACACTATCTAATAGTTAATGCAGCCATCTGTACTCCTTTGCCGGGGGATAGGCAATGAGCAAGGTGAATTTGTATGCTTGAAAAGAACACAGCTGGTTGATGCTAGAATTTCTTCCTTATCCACTATGAATATTTTTTTGTTAAGAAATAACAGCAGAAGGACATTCCAAAATGTTTGCTAAATTTAAGACTAGTAAATTCAAACAATCTAGTCCAACCTACTGCAGTCAGAATTATATTTTAATAATATCTGAAAAGGACTTGTTGAACAACCTTACTTCTACAGTTCTTAGTTAGATATACTACTATCTTTTTACTGAAAATTATTCAACATTGTCCACAGTTCAAAAATCTTCTTCAGAACAAAAGCTTGAGTAATCCTGTTTCTGTTCTCTGTACCTTTCCTGCTAAAAGAGCCAGGAACTCCAGAATGCATCTAGAAATTTTGCCATGGGAGAAAGAGAGCATCATGACAAATGAATGCAATAGTAGCTTGCTCCCCATTATCTCATAATTTTCAAAATCTAAATAGTAAAATAAAAGAACTTACAGTCCATAAATCTGTGGCGCAATCTCTAGCCTGTTCAAATGCATGTAAAGCTCAATATCATGTTTCTTTAGCAAATGATCTTGAATCTGGTTTACTTTTGTTACAATAGCAATTGATGGGCCTAAATCCTGGGGTCTTGCAAATGGAGTGGGGGTCATCATTGCATCTTTATCCTAAAAGAACAGTAACAACAAAATCAAATGATATCAGCATCTTGTCACTTTCCTCCCACACCATCTAGCCTTTTATAACATTTTCTCTGATGAAGACATATGGGGATCTTGAAAACATGCACAAGGATGGTGATGGGGAATGATCTTTTGATTGGCCCAACAGAAGTATTAAAACAACATGTATTCTGGAAATTTTATCAAGGTCAGTATGTCTACATCTTCCCATCTAATGTCTAATTTATTAAAGGTTTCCAATGTTTACTAAAGACAACAATGACTCCGCATTTAAATTCCAGAAGCTGTACGTATTTTAATAAATTATCCTACAGAGCCTGCCCACACCATAAATTAAAACAAATGACACTATACTGGGAAAAAAGGCAAATAGGATTTAATACATGTTTAAGATCATATTTTACAAAGGTACCATAAATTTCTGATTTCAGAAATTGGGTGATGGGATTAGGCACAATTACATAGCCTGCTGCTTAAGGGATTCCCCACTGTTATGTTTTCCAGTGCTGATTCCACAATATTGGCGCAACAGGGGGGCTCTTTACTTCACTCTGTAATCACCTGCTTGCTCTCCAGTTTTTCTTGGCCCAGTACTCACCACTGACCAGAGAAAAGGGGGAAATGACTGAAAAGGCAAGGGTCATTTTACTCATTACTATCACTTGCTGCTGCATTCTGTCTAGGACTCAGAAAAAGAATGAGGTACAATGGCTAGAGGAGCAGTAGACCCCGTGGTCAGAAGTAGTTCCTTGCTGAAGGGTTGTCCTCAGCATGTGCCTGAAAACATCAACCCTTGATAGTAATCCTAATGTCTACACTGTTTTTCTTAGTTTTTACTCCAAACATTGCCATGGGTGCCATTTACCCATCAACAAATACTGAACTAAAACTTAAAACTAGTTATAATGAAAAGTTTTTCTATTCATGTGGTTTAAATTTACTGGTTGTCAAGTTATTCAAGCTTCAACTTATATTAAACATGTTAACTCCAGACTTACTTTTATCTTAAAAAGGCATTATACTCAATGTTAAATAAAAAATAATAATAATATGGATTTTGATCAGAAAGTACCTTTTGACTGTCGTGCTCATATGTTGAAAACCAGTGTTCTGCTGTTTTCATAAGATGGGTGAACATTGCACTAAGGAGAAATAATGTTATCTATAATAAGCACAACGATAAGAACATAAGAGAAGCCATGCTGGATCAGACCAAGGATCCATCTAGTCCAGCATTCTGAACGCATGGTGGCAAAGCAGCTGCTCACAGGATCTCTCAAGCAGGACGGGTGCAAGACATCTGCCTGCCCAAGCTCCTCAGCAACTGGCACCTCTTATGGCGGAGGTAGCATTTAGCCAGTAATGCTAGTAGCCACTGACAGCCTCTTCTTCCATGAATCTATCTGGTCTCTTTCTAAACCCACCTAAATTGGTGGCCCTCACTGCTTCCCATGGTAATAAATTCCACAGTTTCACTATACTTTGTGTGAAGAATTACTTCTTCTTATCTGACCTGAACCTTTCCCCAAGCAGCATCATGTGATGTCCCCAGCTTCAAGTGTTATGCAAGAGTGAAGAATACGTCCATATTCTCCACTCTGTGCATTATTTTAAACACCTCTATCATGTCTATCATGATGACTATGATAATAATATAAGCAAATACAAGAAGAAAAAGAAGTTACTGAAACTTACTAGGCATCATGTTCCAGATATCCAGGGTCCAAAAGAACTTTCATTTCTTCACTATTGAGAAAAAATAACATTTAAAAGTGTTTTTTTCCTTTTTATGGTAGGTTTCCTAGCCAGCTTACAGGACAATTGCAAGTAAGTAAAACTAGCCTTTGTAATTAAAAAGAGTAATTCCACTGAAGACAAATGAAGTCCTTACTCTCTCTAAAGATCAAAAACAAATTAGCTGCCTTGTCTGCACTACAATGAAGTAACCATCTAATTATTCCAAATAACAAATTACTGAATGCCACAATGTATTATTTGAATATGCTTGATCCAGAATAATTGATCACTCTACAATATATCACTGTTGGTTGAAAACAAAAAATACAGTTACTGCTCAAATACACAATATCAAAACAGTAATTTATTTTAATAGAATCTATTTTTATCACATTTTAGCAGCAATTAATCAGTGACAACACCTTTTACAATTTTTCCCTGTGGCTAGTAGAGAAAAAGAAGGATTATATGCCCAAACATGAATACATTGAGAAATCTGACACTCTGTTCTTAATATAACCTGCAGAGTGGGGATGTATGAGAATTCCATGGGGTGCTTTTGAGAAAAATATTGGGTTTTTCTGGTTTGGCTCCCTGGTTTCCACTCTTTCTTTGCTGCTGTATTAACTTCATCTGTACTCAGCCCAGCCAGCATGTAGATATTTGTGTTTTTTTCAATGGCAATAATCTGTGATTTCTTAAAAAATGGACTTGAAATATTTGCACATTGTAATCAAATTGCACTAAAATAATCAGTAATTCAGAAATGAAAATCCTAACCTTCAGTGTCCTGGAAAGTGATCCCTATCAAGGCACCATCCCGAAAACATTGGCAAAACAGTAATTCATATATGTTAAATGGATGCTTTGCTTTCCCAAAAGCTGTTAAAAGGCAAGCTGTCAAGTGAAATCAAAGTTACAAATCTGCTTGTGAAAGGGGGTGGCTAATAGATCACCCTCTCCATGGTAAGATCCTCTAGTTTTTATATGTGGACTCAACAGTGTGCATTGTCCTGCACATTTCCCATCCTTTCTGGACCACCCTTTCAGTGCTTAGGAGACATGCAAGTCAACCCATTTATGGAATCCGTCAATTTTAAGAGTTCTGTCTATCTTTTAGCATAGGGTTTCTGACAAATACTATTTTCCTCCACAGAGACATGTAAATTTATATGCATATGTCCTTCTGAAGAGAAAACACATAGCACTACAGGTAATTACAACCCTCTGAAAATTCTGACCTTGATATATCATATTATCTATTGATAAGAAAAACTACGCTTTAACAGGGGCAATCTAAAGGGATTTCAATATTACTAGATGCCTGAGGCAAATGCTACTAGAAAAAAAGTAGTGAGCAACTCTAAATGATTCCGACAAAGAACTTTTATAAAAATAAAATCTAAAAACAGTTACAGTTTACATATAATTATTTACTAGAATATTTATATATCCATCTTGTCTCGAATTCTGTTGATTGAAGTGCAATCTTATAGTGCACATATTAATTTCGGATATAAAACCTGGCATTGCATTCATTACTTAGCATGTGGACAGAAGTGACACCAAAACAGAATCTTTAAACGAGCACTTATTAACCAGCAGATCTCAGTGTTGCATGTCCATTCTAACATGCCCATCAACATTGCTATCATTTATCTGTTGTTATACATTAATGCAAACATTGTTGCTTTTGACAGAGGATCATTACCTTGGTTGTGCAGCTTCACTTGCATGCAGAAAAGCTTGGTGGTCACAGTGCAGAATAAATACAATGGGTGCTAATAGTTCATGCATGCCCTACAATTAAAAATAATAATCCAGAATTTATTTCATGTATCAGGAATTTTAAATCATTCTATTTAATAAACCAGTAGAAGTCACTGTAGCAGAACAATGATTCATATACAGTTGTTTTACTGTAATTAAAGTAAAACCAATTGTTTCCTCTTCTATGAGGTATGAGAAATTCATTTCATGTCATTTTTTAAAATGGGACGATGTTAATAGACTATAATTCATCACTCAGCAGTTACATCAAGATATATATAAAGAACCATTTCATTGTTTTAATGTGGTTATGAGCTACCTTGCAAATACATAGAAAACAACTTAGAAATACAGCAAACTAGTGTAGTTTTCCAAATGATATCAGAACCATATATCTATGTAATTCTAGAATTTGGCTTAAAAGGAAGCTAAAAGACATGTAGAGCTAAAGTGAGAATTCTATATTTATGAACCTTCACAAATGTCTGCATGTATCATTTAGTTAATATATAGTTAATATTTTGTGCAAGAAAGATTGGTTATACTATATTAGAGCCAGCTATAATACATATTTAGTGAACTGTACATGAATGAGGGGTCCAGGAACCCCTACTCCATGACGTGATATAGGTAGAATGTTTTCCCCACGGGGGCTTGTCTTTTGGTGCCAGTCTCCCAGACATTTAAAAACTGTTTTTGTGCTTTTAGATCCTTATTTTGGTTTTACTATGTGCTGCTCTCTTTTTATTCCTTCCTTGATCCCAGGTTCATGTTATGTCCCTTTACTGCCATTTTATTGTGATTTTACATTTTATATTTTTAACTTAGAAGCATAGCACCCAAAGAACTTTTGTTATTGAGCAGTTGAAAACTTAACAAATAAAATAATCTAATAAAAATTTTATTGCCAGAAATGTTAAAAAATGTCCAGCAACAAAGTAGTTCAATTGCTTGCTATTTTCGATTGGTACTGGTTTGAAATAGTAAATGCTTTTTTTCTGAGTATGAGCCTCTCCTAAATTTTGTTCATGCTAGTAAGTGCAGGCTTAGTTATAAAACAGTGTCTTGCAGTTATTTCGGAAAAACTGCTTACAAGCAGATACGCTGAGTATATAGGATAGGACTGCTAAAGGAAATTCAATAACTCTTGGGTATCTAGCTCCAACAATTCCCTTGTGAATCCCTGAGCTCTTAATAAGGTTGAGTCTGCAGAAACTGATGGGACACCATTGACTGCTGGTTAGTTCAAACAATGATCAGTGTACACAAGGTACACAAAGTGACCTGCTTTGATTGGGTCTCTTTGTTTAAAACTTTTCACTATTGTTTGCCACAGAGACCATTTTGGAACAAAAAAGCTTATTTCTTCTTTGGAAGCAGCATAAATTGTATACTAATTTGGTTATATATTTATTCCATGTGCAGTATGAACAGGACACCTGAACGGAGTCAGGACCGTATTACAAGTATGATTGATCCTACTATTCCCGAACTTTAGGTGGGAGTTCCATACAGGGCAGGTCCCAGTGAAGCTGTGCATGTTTGCCCTTAGATCTACTACATGTGCAGAGAATCAGCTGCTTATGTGCAAAACTCTACTTTGCCAGCCCTTGTCAAAGCCACCTCAGCACCCAGCTGTAAAGTATCAGGGGTTTCAAACCAGACTTTCTGGTAGCAAGTGACAAGCACCATACTACACTACCTGTGCTATGAGGGCAACTCTAAGACACTAAGAGAGTGCAGTTTGATTTTTGCTATATTGCAATACCACCCCTAAAGTTTTGATTGTAATATGGCCAGAAATTGTGCAAGAGTTTTCTCATTCCATCTAATTATATCATAATGTACCCTGGGGCACTGTACTTATGACATAATGAAAAATGTGTTGAAATACTGATGTAAATATATAATCCATGACCTAAGAATAGAAATTGAAAATGCAATAAAATTAGAAATAACAGACTAAGGGGCTAATTGGAAGCATTAATTTGTAGGTTCTAGTTGCTTCTGTATAAAATTCCTCACACAATCTATCAAACTGCAAACTATACACTCAAAAGAGAACAGACCTAAGAATTTGAAAAAGGAGACTACAGGTTAAATGAGGCAATGGAAAATCAATTAGCTACATGTCTCATGAATTTAAAATCAGTGTATAATTTCCTAGAATACATTGACTATGATGGACATTTCAATCAAATTGAAAGCCATTGTAAATTCAGTGGTATTACTATATAATTTGTCCAGTTTACAAACATGTCTTTTGTTGCAATGCACAAAATGATGGTTGTTTATATATAACATAATACTGTGTTGGATCCAGACCTAATCATGCTTAGTTAAATTTTATTCAAGTCCTGGATTTTCTTATTGTTTAAAGTTGCTCTTGTGTGTGTGTTATATATAAGTTATGTGATGTATAATATTATATTTTAAGGTTTTAAACCTTTATGAACTGCCCATACAGCTTTGGCTATTGGGCAGTATAGAAAGCTTTAAAAAAATGAAACTAAATGCTTACAGTAAACTCTGGATTCAACATACTGAATAAAATTGCCCTGATTTACAATAGTAACAGTCCCAAAGCATATTGAGAGGTTTAAAATAGGTGATGTATCCATGTTCCAAGGCTGTCAAAGTACCTTGAAAGGACTGCTTCATACATCTTAGCCAGAACTACATGCCACTGGTGTGAAGACTCCCACGCAATTAAACTGTACCATGTCGAAAGTAGTATTCAGAGATCACAATAATTAAACAGTTACTATGTGTAAAATTTTAACTGATTTACAGAATTAGAGTTAATACTACAAAATTAAGCAGGTGTGCTAGCAGCCATTCTTGTGCAAGAGCCATGTCCAAAGAGCCATGTCTTCCTGTAGTGCAAACTGCTATAAAATGAAACCTTATCCAATCTTGCCTAGCCAGACAAGTTTAAATAAATAAGAGTTGCTAAATTAAACACATTGCGTTGAGCATCACTGGTAACCAAATTAAAAAGTATTGAGTGCTATGCAGAAAGTATCTTCTGTTAGGAGCTTTGCAGGACAGAGGTACAAGCTGGAAGTGCATATTTCTGTGAAGTTCCATTGGCCAGATAGCATCAACATCACACTTGCTGAAATGGGTCCCTTGAAGTGGGGGCATTAAGATATTATTAGAATAAATTTACCTATCTAAGGGAAGATATAAACAAAGGTATAATCAAAGACAATGAAAATGAAGTGGTGAGTTGAACTGAAATAGCTAGAAGTATACATATATTAAAACTAACCTTGCCTTTTCAGGCAATTCACCACTATTCCACATAAGCTTGTATTGCTAGTTATTCAGTACAAATATCCAGCACTGTAACATCTAGCATTTCTTCAGCCCTTCTAGGCTTAGATCAACCATCTTCTAAAATTACTGCAGTGTGGAAATGACACTATTCAAAAGCAGAGGTGAAAAAGTTTTCTTTGTTAACAGCCTGTAGGCTCACAAAATTGAACCTGTTCTTTTATCTGCCGATGTTCATTTAGCTCACCAAGCAGTCTTTATTAAAGCAGAGGCACCAGGCAGTCAAAGTTCATTAATACCATTTATATAATCTCTGCAGTTTCAATTAACTCAGCAAGACATTCTACAACATGATAACAGTCTCATTAATTCAATAAAATCCCATAACTATTAACAATATGGTCTATGTTAAACGGGGTGTCACCTAGTACAAAATAATAGCTTTAACAGCTTGTGAGGAAACTCAAAAGTTTTTTTTTCACATTGATCTGACTAAGTACTCAACTCTAATGTGGCAAGGTATTATTTCTTTGTAAGGAATCCGTAAGATTTTCAGCATAAGTAACTGACAGTTAAGCTAGGCCAAAAAGAGAAATATTATTTGCTTGTTAAACAAATTACACAGAATGTGAATCTTCCTATAATTTATCTGTTCTTTTCAGTAGAAGTGGGTAGTATTTACTGAAAACAACCAGGTTGGATTTGCTTAACTCTACAGTAAAATCCTCATATAAAAGATAATGTGACTAGTATGCTTGACCTAATAATTCAGCTTCAGATAATATTTACAGAAAAGATGTAATATTTCCCTAACATTTTCACCTTTATGTCATACCAAGATTTAATTGTTCTCAGAAGTATGGGATCTTTTCATGGGATCTTAACTAGTACACTGTGTGCTTGGACAGCAGAGTAAAACTAGCTTGAATTTCCTCTTGACCCCACCGACAAAATTTTCATGAAGAATGCCATTACTGATAATTGAAACAAAGTGTTCCCTATTCTAATCATTCTCTCATGACAACTAAATTGTGCCAGTCTTTTTAGCATTTTTTTCTTATTTAATATCTTGGAAATCAGGCTTAGGAAGGTTTGCTGCTGTTTGTTTCCCTTCCATCCTCTTATCATCTTTCATGAAACACTAAACAAATGACTAAAAATAAGAACAGGGAGAATACAACCTACTAATTTTCCTGGATGTTGTGGTGGCTTTCAATACAATTGACAAAGATGGTCTTCTAGATAGATTACCTGGCTTGGAGATTAAGGGCACTGTATTTTCTTATCTAGAGGGCCTTATCCCTAACCTTGGATTGAATCTTGCCTCCCCTCCCAAGTTCTTTAAGAGCTACATGAAACTGACTAATCATCCTGGAATTTGGAATGAGCTATCATCAGAACATAAATAAAACTGAACTCTATTTTTTCTTGACATCTCATTTAAGTGAGATAATAGTGCTAAATCATTGTCTGTAATTAGTAAAACAATGCCTGAAGATCAGTAAACCCAAGTTCAGTCCTAAGAGGTACTGTTGGTATTTGGTAGAGTTTAACTGTTCTGAATGGGGTTGAATTCCCCCTAAAGGTTTAGGTTCACTGTGCAGACATCCTCATATTTTCAGCCCTGTATTTGAAGGGGTATCTGTGGCATCTATGGACTTCCACTGCTGAGGCTGGTGTACCAGCTCTGGTCCCATACTCTGGTAAGCTCCATATTATGCCACTGCAATGTGATACATGAGATGCTTCTTCATAACAATTTCAGAATAAAGAGATTAGGTTTATGACTGTGACTGGTTGCTGGGAATATATAGCACTGTTTTTTAAAGAACTCAAGAAGCTGCCTGTCCAAGTGTAGCACAATGTATTGATGCACCTCTGAAAACCCTACACAAGGTAGGATGTGCACATATGCAGAATCATCAATTTTTACATTAATCCAGCTATGACCAATAGACTTCTTGGCAGGAACCCACAATGATACCCACCTAATCACGGCAATTACAGAGAGGGTGTTCTTAGTTATTATGCCCCAACTTTAAAATACTCCCCAAGGGAGGCTTGCCTATTGCTCACTTCTATGCATTTTTGTGACAGCCAACAACTTTTCATTTTCCCAATCTTTGAAATTCTGCTTATTTATTTTTATGTGCAACTGTAATTCTCAATTATTCTGTATTGTTTAGATTCATTATTCTTTGTTTATGGTTTTTATATATTTGTTTGAATATTATCAGCCTGGGAAAAATAATAATGGGGTAATGATTTTCAAATAAATACAAACATAAAATAAATCTTCATCACAGAATATTTGGGAACAGAGAGATTCCACTATATAAATTTCAAACAAAAATAGTTTGGGTGAGAAATCACTTCTAATCACTGTACTTTGCCTATTAATATGAAAGTATTTGGTAGTCTTAAACCTACCTGCTACCAGAAAAATAAATTAAAACTCAGACTTCTCAAGCAACTAATTCTGGAAGATCATCTGAGGTTGATAGAATTTCTTGAGTGCATGTACAGGTTAAATGCCTTCATACCTTCAGCAATCTAAGATCTATTTAAAAGGATCATCTGACTTTATCCTATTTATAGGCAAAACACAGACAGCATTAAAAAGGCTTTGCCACATTAGTAGCAAATTTCAAGTAAGATTTTTATGTAAGGGCAAAGCATTCCTAAAGCTATTAGTAAACAAATACTTCACACAATAATCCTATGGCCCACTAGGCAAAGGGTGGGTTCACAGATCACATCCAATGCTGTGTGGTTACCATGGTTTGCATTGCTTTTCTTCAACATATTGGTCAGATGATCAGGCTTCTCCTTCCACCTGCCGCCATCTTTCCACTTAGTCTTCCAGGTGGTATCCCAAGAAACACTGTAGAAAGGAATGAGGCACTTCCACAGCCATGATTGTGAACCAAGTTCATTTCACTGTGGCTGCCAAGCAGTCTCTTCCATGCAAACAGGGCTGATGCATTGAAGTGCAGCTGAAGAACCATGGAGCAGGAAGGGGAGGTGCTGATCCAGGCTCAGGCATGGGGGGACATCAGAGAGCAGTGCTGCTCATCTGAGTCTTCTGTCCCTCACTAGCGTACCTGAGAGATGTCCCTCACACATGCAAATGGGAGATGCAAGAATCAGCTGTGAAGCAGTACCCAGTTGGGGGTGGCAATGCTCAGCCAATTCACCTGCACACACCCTTTTCACACTCCTGCTTTCAAGAGGGTTGTCCCCAACCCACCAGCACCTGAGTGACTTTCTCACAAGTGGCAACAATGAGAAGGAAGCAATGCTTGCTCTACTTTCTTGCACCTGCTTGTCAGAGAGGTGTCTCTAACCTGGTGTCCTCTCTGCCAAGTGAGACCGAGACAGGAGACAGGTGGAAGAATCAGTTGAGTGATGCTGCTGCCAACCAGGCACTGGCACCCAGGTTTTCTCACCCCTCCAACTCAAATGTATGGACAGCTTCTCCTTTCTGCAGTGTTGCTTAGTTGATTGCCTGCTCCTGCCCCAAAGAAGATCTTTATGGCAGGAAGTAGGCAGAGCGGGGATTCCTCTGACAGCTGGACAAAACAGGAGCTGTCAGTGGTATTCTCTGGCTAGCCCTGTGGCAAGAGCAGCGATGGCTCCTCTTGTCAAGGAGATTTTTAGTTCTAGCCTTCATACCACAATGGCTTATGTTTTTCTGGGTTCAGATGATAAATACCATGAATTTATTTTTCACTTTGCTGGAATTACTATTAGTGTTTTGCTAAATAAGGTATCATATTGGGTTGGACGGAACACTACTTGTAGTAATTTATCACTGAAGTGTCTTTAGTCATGACTACCCTATGTTCAGTTCATTTAGTTTAGAGCCAACCAATGTACATATACTTTCAATTTAAGAAGAAGCATATAGAAAAAATTCATTAGCTTGTATGTAAAAAGGGCCTTTTTAACTTTAAAGAAGTCCAAATATAAGATTTAGCAGTACTGAAAAAAGCATTAGAGGGAATGTCTTCTTGTGAATGGAAGCATATGTGCTTGAATGGCTTGTTCTCTGTACCACACAGCTAACAAGCAGGTCTTGGATTGCCTGAGTCTGAGCACACAATGTGAAAGATAATAAAAACCCATGTTACTGTTCAGTCGATTGTCAAGAATGTAGGATAATAATGGCAAGTCAATGGATACCACCTGTATGATTGTTTCATTACCTGTTTATAAAGCAGTTGCTCATTTTCCCGAGCATAACAGAATAGAACATCTGTAAGAATCTTTCTCACATTCTCTTCTTGGAAATACTGCATTTCAGGAAACCTGGAAGGAAAAAAAAAGATCACTGATACAGACCACAAAGCTCAGATTTATCTTTGGTTTCTTATTTTTAATTTCCTAATAATATTGATAGCAATCTTAATTGCTATGCATTTCTTTCCTTTCACAGTGAAGAGCTTATGTATTCTTTCAATTATTATTATTAATTTTATTTCTGTACCATGGAATAGCCAAAGCCTTCTTAGCACTGTACATGAACAGATAAGTAGAAGCTAAAATATAAATACCAGTAAAAAATTATAACATTTCACTGGAGATTTTAAAACTAAAAGTTAATAATCTAAACAGCTAAGACAAGTTCATACAGAATAGCTGGTTTAAAACAACTTATGCACCAACAAAGGTGCATACTTTGCCCAACTTATCATTTCCACTGCTTCAAGTGTAATTTAGAGCTGTTAAATGCTTCAAGATGGAGGACAGTCTTAGTCTGGCACAGAAAAGATAATAAAGTTAGTGCCAGGTGAACCTCAATGGGGAGATCATGCAAGAATATCAAGCCGCCACAGAGAAGCTCCTGCTCCTTGTTTCCACCAACTGCATCTCCCTTGGAGGTGGTATTCTGAGAAAGGCCTCAGAAATTGAATGTTGTGTCCAGGAGATTGCAGTTGAAAAAGGAATTCTATCAAATATTGTAGCCCCAAGCTGTGTAATGTTTTATAGGTTAAAACCAGCTCAGAAGCATATTGGCAGCCTATGTAAGCAGCCCAGAATTGGTGTTCGGTGTTTGGATATTCTGATCCCTGTTCTCAGCCTGGTTGCCGCATCCTACACATGCTGCAGCTTCCGAACAGCCTTCAAAGGCAGCCTCACATGGAGTGCTTCACGGTAATTTAGAGATGACCTAAGTGCAGATTGCTGAAACCAGGCTATCACTGTCCAGATAGGGGCACAGTTGAACTACCATTGGAAGGCTTTACGGCACTGAGGCAACTCCAAACCACAGAGGCAACCTGAGCCTCGAGTGGCTGATTGAGGAGCACCCCACAAAGTGAAAACTTGCCCCTTCAGGAGCATTACTACTCCAAATTATTAGTTGTGATATTTAAAATACTCTACCAGTTCATACGATGATTCTCCATGATAAAAATGGAGGACTAGCAAAAGAATAGCAAAATATATGCCAGTTTAGGTATCCAGTTTCCATTTATACTGAAGTATATTCAAGTAAAATTAATATATTTGCTCCAAGTAATGGTTTTGTTTTAGAAAACAGGAATTAGGTAGAATTTATAGAAAAGCACTTTTCATTGCCCGTCTTTCCACATACAAATGGAGAATGCAGAAAGAAGTCATCATATGAGTTCCTTTAGTTGTATTCCAAAAATTAATATTATCCCACACAGTCCCCAACAATAATGAAGTTGGAATTAATTGTTTAATACTGGAAACAGACCTGCATAGGTGTTTATTCTCTTTCTCACAAACCATAGGGATATGGGAAGCATGATGTGAAATAGAAATACAGGAATATTGCTAACAACTGACAATACAGAATCATTTTAGATGGCTTCATACATGTGGATTTCCCATTAACTAGCTCAATGAATAATATGTTTATCTTAAACATATCATTCCTATGCCTAAGTGAAAGTGTGACCTTTTTTCTTTTACAATGACTCCATATAACTAGTAAAACTATCACTATCTGAACTTTAATTCCCCAATTATAACTTAGGTATTTATATAATCTTAAACATCCTGAACTGTTCCCATTTAAAAACAAAAAATACCATCTGTGAGAATTTGCATGAAAGCATACTCAGATTTTAATTATACATCTAACAGCATAAATGCATTTCAAAACACATCTAGGGCACAGGCATACAAAATAAAGCAATAAGGGATGTCAATATTTCCTGTGCATTGTTTTGTTTTTTGCCCATCAATTCTATTAATGGAAAAAGGCATCATATTGAACTCTCATTTTAAAATCTGTAGGATTCTTTTCTTATCCCAAATTTTAGTAAAGGACTATGCTATAATCAGAACAGTAACATGTCACGTAACAAGTAATTGAGCTTAATTGGAGTTACTCGGTGCAATCAGAGTTCTAACTCTGACAAAATATTTTCCGGAACGGAATTCTAGCTTTGATAAGTTTCTTAACAGGAATGACCCAAGGGCTAAAGAGATGAAAGGATATTCACAATGGTAATAAGGAACATTTTAAAAAGGCATCTCTGACAGTAGGAAAGTACTACACAAAAATAGAAATGCTAAATTCCTCTAGATGAATGACATTTCTCACTAATTACACATCACTTTTTATTGATTAAGTGTTAAGAATTACAGAAAATCATCTGTTCAATCTTGTATTATAAACATAATTTAGTCACAAGATCTGTCAGTTCCTCTCATTCTTTTTTCCTTTCTCACTCAAACCATATTTTTTAAAAATCAAATGTAACGTAACATATTAATTTACAATAAACCTGTTTCAATAGCTCCAAGACATCTCTTTGAGATTTAAACCCAAGTGAAACAAACTCAGAGCATCCCTTACAAATCTAGGTTATTCTTAGTTCTGTCAGTTTTAAGTACCCTTAATCCTGTTGGAAGCCATAATGCCCATATTCTGCTCTGTAAAGAACTACTTTAAATGACCTCCAAGGGCCAATTTTACCAAAAGGTAGATCAGAAAGTCTGAAAATGAATTAAGGTGTTATCAAATGCACATTTAAAGAGAGAGAAAAAATTCTGAGCATGTCACAGCTAGTATGGGTGACCAGCAAATGCTGGAAGTTGTTGGACCTTTTTCTTTCTCTAGACATGCATAGGATTGTACCCTACATGTATGGTTCTGTAGACTGGAACTGGCACACTATTACTTTTCACTGGTTTCATGGATGTGATTTCTGTAAACAATTACTGGTTTACCCTGAGTTATTAACTTGAAGGAAAAAGGTAAAAAAGCGTATGACTCTGTGGGCTGGATGGTGCCTTGAGGCCAAAGATTCTTTTAGCAATGGAACTGTGTAACATGAATAACAATAACACTTACGTTCTTGTCACATCTTGTTCAATCATACTTCGAAGTTCCTTGTCCTGAAAAAATTTGTTCCAAAGGCTCTGGAAAAGAGCAGATAATTATGTGAAATGTAGGATAATATTGATGGGTTATACCAAGGATGGGAAAACTCCAGCTCACCAGGTCTTCCCAACTGAGCCAAGTGAGATGGTGCTCAAGAATCTCTGAAGCAAGCTATGGTCCATCCCTTCAGTACATTAATATCCCGATATTTGGAAGTAACACTGAAAAAATATTTCATGGAATGAATAGCTAACAAGTACAAATTATCTATTTGAATAAGTTGAGGGGGGGGGGTGCGCACGCGTGCATGTGCTTGTGTATATAAAAGACTTAAGTCTGGATTCAAATTTATACTGGATCAAGTATGCTGACTGAAAAAAAATATTTTGCCCTCTCCATCCCATGGTAGCCTCTCTGCTTCCCAAAAATGCTACAAAGCAAGTCTGGGCACACTGCTGAATGGGAAGAAGTGCAATATTGGGGAATCCCCCAAAATCAGATGGAGGACCTTCTGCTTGCAGAAGATAGATTCTTCAATGGGAAGACAGATTACCAATTTGTCAGAATCTGGGCTGCTCTGGTGGACAGAACCAGAAACAACTATTAGAGCTCTCAATGTACTGATGAGCACCAACCAGGAGCCCCGATGGAAGAGCTTTATAAGAGCAAGTCCTTCCCTCCGGAAATTATCTCAGCAGTGCAGGTTCTGCTGCACCTTCACAGCACAGACCTCCTCTTTGCTGCTGTGCCTACACCCTGTCTGACCTATTCTGCTCCTGTTCTTGCTCCCTGCTATGTCTTCTGCATCTTGCTGTATAATCTGCCTTGCCATGTTGCCTCAGCAACACAGTTTTGCCTGTTTGCTGTTCTGCATGCACCTTACCTGACTATTTCCTGGTTTCCACTGTGTTTCCTGCTTGCTTGTGTTGTCCTGCTGTTCTGCCTGCCTCTTGCCTGATCTATATCCTAACATGCCCATGAATCCCGCATCGCTTTTGCCTCAGTAATGCAGGGCTTCCTGTAAGCTGTGGTTCAGCTCCTGTATCTTGTCTGACTCTTGCTGCATCTGGTTCCTGTTGTGTCATGTATCTTGCCGTACCATGTCTCCTGCCCTGTTATCCTGTCTAAGGTACTTGCCCTGCACCGCTGTTTGTTTTTCTATTTCTTGACCCTTGGCTTGTTCCTGACAACTTTGCTCTGCCATTATGCATTCTTCTGGTTCCTGACCTTGATCTGTACCATGACTAAGATTTGGATTCTGCCTTCCCTGAAGTTCTGTTGTCCTGGTGCCTCTGTTGCTCCTGTCTTGCCTTGGCTTTGGCTGTCCATGTCTCAGCTATGGACTCTGTCACAAGCTGTAAGAATTTTTTTATCTAGCATGTTTATTTTAGAAAAGTGAGTAATATACAAGATAATAAATAACATGTTTTGTTTTCATCTGCCTCTAAAACACCATCTAGCTATTATGATTTCTGTTCTGCTGCTTCTAAGTTATTGACCTCAGTCTTGATCTTCTACCTGCCCTGAGACATCTCCTGATTCAAGAAAGGAGTTGTAACTATGGTTTTAAAATCAATTAAAAGTTTTCCTGAAGGAAAATCTCAGTTTATGACCCTATGGCTGGAATCTAGTATTATCATGGTACCTTTGTTCTGTTTTCAGGTTGTATAAATATAAATGTTTGCCACTGAAATAACAAGCTAAGTCAGAAATTACTTAGTAAGGACCTACAGATTTTAGATAGGCATGCATTTGCCCCATGGAGGGAGGAAGAAAGGAGGAGGATGACTGGAGTTAGATTTTGTACAACAGCAGTTCCACTATCCAGCAGGACGTTTCCTGAGTCAACTGTGGGGTGCCAACTGGCCCAACAGATTCATGTAAGAAGATGCACAGAATGGAGTGAGAGATACATTGGTGGGTCTTACCTGTCTACATCCTACAGTATGGCCACTGCCATAGCTGACTACCCTAGCAAACCACACTGGTAATAATAGATCTTGCAGTGGACAGGAATTGGTCATCAGCTACTGTGGCTGAGGAGGAATTTTTCCTGCTCTGCAACTGGCAAAAACTGTGTCCCCATGGGGCAAGTTTTTCATTTTCTTTATTTCAAAAATAGCTCCAGTATAAATAATTGAGCCATACAGCTATGAGATCAAGTATAGAAGTGGTATTCTAATTTGCTCTGCATCACAACTAGGTGGCCATCACAGGGATGAGACTGGATCAATTTGGGAGAGGAAGTAAGTTTGGGCTCCCTGCTCCCCCTCAGTGAGGATTTTCTAAAGAGGTCTTTGGCATGTGGCATCGAGATTGGGTCACCTTGATGGTTGTGAGTAATGGTGGTGAGAAAGGAGTTTGTGTTAGTGGTCTGCAATACGTTAGGCCGTGACTCTGCCATCCAGCACCAACATGCTTAGCAGGAAGGGAACTGGACAACAGGTGGACTTTCCAATGACAGGATCCATGCCCTCTGCCTCTACCAATCTATTGTTCAGGCAAATCAATACAATTATGGTCAACTGAATAACCCATTTCAGTCTGCATATCTGGTCTGTTCCTTTCAAGTGCTGCATGGACACAGTTAGATCCTGTGCCACACAAACTTTAATGGTAGGATTGCTATTTTATTAGTTGCTCACTTATGAGTAGTGCTGGAAAGTAGACTTAATAGGATAGCTTTAGCTTCCCAAATGGCATTCCCATGTTTCCCTCTTTTCTCAATTTGGTAACCATTAGTAATAAAACGTATGCAATGTGACCCCACAATGCCAAGAATATTACCCACTTCATGTCACTAGCTGTAGCTTGTGTTATATAATATATTTTATTTTATTATTTATTAAAACATTTTTATGCCGCCCCATTCGCCGAAGCCTCGGGGCGGCTTACAACATATTTGTCATATTTCATACAATATATGTCATATTTCAAGATGTTACAAAGGAAAAAAGAGAAAGTTGGGGGCTACTGCATTTGGTAGCTGCCACATGTCTCCTGCAATGCTTAAAACAAGGCTAAATAAATGATAAATCTACCACACACAAAAAGTTTGCAGAACTGCTCAATAACTATATTGTTCAATTAAGGCCAACAGCCATTCCTGAGATATTTTTACAATTCCACAGCTGCAAACATTTGCAGAAAGCCCTGATCAGTATTCATGCACAGCGTAAACAAAATGGCTGAGTGCACTAGAAAGTTTCAGAAAGCAAGAAACTTCCCAAAACTTCTGGTTATCTGGTCACTTGATAGTCCAAAATTGCCCTCTAAGCACTGTATATTGCTTTAAAAATATGAAACAGTAGTTTGACAGGCAATATGTCAACATTATTGGTTCCACTTGATATTCACTAGAAGAATTAATCATGGTATATTCAGCTGTTTTTAACATAGCAGAAATGTTTAAATAAAAGAGCTGATGACTAACATTTATTTTAAATGAATAAGAACAGGTGGCAACTCTCTGAGAGAATGAAACAAAGTCCCAGCTCTGATCTCTTGCTCATCAAGACATCATCAGCTGAGAGTAGTGAATACACACCATACCCCACTTCTGGAGAAGAGCATCTTCAACTCCCTTTTGTCTGTTTAGAGCTGGTGCATCAAGTGCAGTAGCTTGAACAGTGGACTTGGCTATTTGAACAGTGGACTTTAAGGTGAATTTTAATTGAGTGTGAGTGTTTGTGCATGCATGCGCAGGCACACACAAAACCTTGCTGGATGAATGTGGGAAAAGTACATCTATAATTTGCATAAAAATGATGTGTTTATATGGGGAGAAAAACGTAGGGAATTGGGCCATATAATGAGGTATTTTGGATGATGGAGATCAAGCAACAGGAATGAACTGTATAGCACTGATCACTCTCCAATTGTTGTTGGGTGACTAGACAAGAAGAGAGTACAAAAGGATATCCCTCCTTAATTATTGTTTACCTTAAAGTGAGAAGACTGAGATAAGTAGCCAATTCTTAGGTGAATAACTGGACTGTAATATAATCTCAGTTTGGAATCCTTTGCACATGAACTCTGGCTCTTTATCATGTTTTAAAGGGTTGAATATGCTGTTTTTTGATCTATGGTTCTTCACACTGCCCCATAATGCTAAGTTCTATACTGTTATACAACTTTTGTATTTTATTTTCCCCCTTTTTGGATGTCCTACTTGTGTCAGCAGCCTGAAGGCTTGAAGAATTGTTTGTAAGTTTAAAAAACACTTAAAGCTCTTCTAACCAGATGAATCTGCACTAATATCTTTTGATCAGAACTTTTCAAAGCCAACAAGGGCTCTGCCCCATAGAACAATTAATAAGGTCTTTCAATATGTCTCCCTTGCTCCTGTATGCATGCTCACAGCTTGAGTCAAAATTTGACCAGTTTGTTGGGACAGGGAATTTTAAAACAGTTCTTACATCAGCTGCCAACTTCCCATCAGGCACTGTGTTTGGGGATATATTTTTGGCATTCTCTAGGATGCAGGAGTTTCACTGTCAAGGCAAACTAAGCTGCAACCTTATTCAAGCCTTTGTAGATAGCTGGAGTCAAATCTACTTACACATCAGTGTTGAGAAAAATATAAAAGTTTTACATAAGTCTTCACTTATATTTATCAATCATGATAAGGCTGTAATTTCCTTGTAGTGTTCCAGCCTCTCCCATTTCTAAAGAAAAGTTTTTGTATGTACTCATGGGGATTCCCAGGGCTTTTTTTTTGTCATAGAACGCACCGGAACAGCGTTCCGGCACCTTTTTTTGGCAGATTTTTCCAAGTGATTGTGAATCGCCCTGTTGGGTGTAGCAGATCAGTGGCAGAAATCATTAACATAGTTTGTGTGTCTGCACTGATTGTCGGTGCTGATTTTGAGGGCGTTGCTCGGCTTGGGACACTTCTCGGCTTGGGATTGGTTGCGTGGTCGCATGTTGACTCAGCTGGCGGCAACCATTGTGTAAAAGTGGGACCCCAAGATGTGAGTTCCGGTACTTTTTTTTTTTTTTTACAAAAAAAGCACTGGGGATTCCAAAATCTCTCATGTTCATGGTGAAGGGGAACAAAGAAGGTGCCCAGTTAGCTGGAAATCTGGGCCAGAAGGTTTTGTGAAACTAGAACACATTTGTAGGTGCATGAATACTGATGTCCGAAAACTGCTAATTCTTTTCTCACCAGTGTAACACTAGCCAGGTATATCTAAGAGAAATCTGACTGTAGTTGGAACTTTTACAAAGAGATAAACCAGATTCTGCAGTATTCCTTGCTCATACTTGCAAGCACATGACCAAATGGTAGCCAATGATGCGTTTTTCAAATATAGCAGATGTTAAATATCTTTGCATATAGAAGATTAACAACCCACAATGGTATGACCATCCCGAAAGATGTCTCTTCCAAGCAGATATGAATCCAGAGCTAATCAACTCCTGGACTGATTTTTGGGATATGTCTAGTTTTTCTGGGGTGCTGCAAAAGTGATCTAAGAAGTGCAAGAATATGATCAGGTGTTATTTCTGTGGATGACATAGTGACAGAGAGTCCCAGAAATTATGTAATTCATGTAACCATTTTGTCTGTCCAACTCATGCAGTTGTGCAATGTGGTGATAGAACCGTATGTTGTTCTTTGTTTCAAACTGTGCAATAAAGTAAACAGTTGTTTTTGTGGAGTACTTTACATTTTGGAGTATTATTAACCATGATTAGCACTTTGCATTTTTACAGAAAAATGGAAGTTCTCAAGGAAGCCATAATTTTTTTTTCTCAGAAAGTGATAATATCTTACAGCTTTCTTGATAGCTTTCTGGAGTACATTTGATACAGTATTTCATATATTGAAAGAGGAGGTTTTTATAAACTTCCAACTTTTGTAAGATTACAGATTTTAAATTGTTGGACATTCAGTGAATAAAAGGGAGATTATGATTACCCCTTCATCCTGTGAGAGTGGGTTGTTGATCATCACGTCTTGATGTCCAGCTTTCCGAGGATTTGTAATGTGCTGCAGATAGGAACAAGAGCCTAGATTTTAAAATCTTTCCTGTTAGACATATTGAAAGTATCAGTTCTGAGGAACAAAACTCAACTTACTATTTCTTTAATCTTGTTATATGATGTTCTTAATTTTGTTGTTTTATTGAGCCATTGATTACTATCAGAGGGTAGAACATTCAGAAACAGCTGTAGATCAAATGAAATATTGATGGGTTAGAAAAATAAGCAAACTGTATCAACTTAGTGCTACTGTTTATGTAGTAAACTGAAATTACTACAGTAATCTGCCAAATATAAAAAGATACCCCCCGACACACCAACAAGGCGCTTCAGTGCTTTTCACTTACGCAGCATCTTTAGTTGATACTGCATCGAGACATGTACTTGTAAATGCATTGCATTGGGTTGGATCACAGATCTGCCTTCTGGGTAGAAATGGCTTTGATCCAGTTTTTGGGCACCATGGCTCACAGCTCATTCAGAAAGAGCTTTAGATCATCTGTGTAGCTGTGGTGAGGATGATGTGGTGAGAAAGGATGAACCTACTTCCAGTAGACCATTTGCATGCACCTAAATCTGGATCCAACCTATTTTTACTGGAATAAAATATGCTGTTTCAACACGGTACTAATGTGTTCATAGTTTTATCATATACAGCTTTCCTTTTCATTGAAATATATGTACTAATTTCAACACATTTAAAGTAGAGTGCTTTTGCTTAACTTGCCAATTTCCCAGATTCCTTGCCTGTAGACTTGGGTTCTTTTTCCACTTTTGCTTGCCCAGTTTTCTTAACACAGTCATACAAGGCACCAAAGTTTTGCTGAGCTTTTTACAGTGCCACCTCATACAATCAAGTTTTGCTCACTAATATTTTTACATTAGAAAATCCTGAGCAACTATTTTGGAAAGAAAATAGATAACTTTTAAATGTATAATATACACACAAATATTTTTTCTGGATTTAACAGTTCAGTCCTATGGTTGCTAGACAGCATCTACATGGCAATTGGATTTTTGAATCCCCAGAAATGAAGTCAGAAAATCTTTCTGATCTCATAGCTGGAGATCTATACTCGGATCCCTCTCCAGCCACACAGCTGGATGGAAATGACCACATTGGCTGTTTCACCAATGTCATAAGAGCAACCTTTGGGGACATTCTGGGGACTGGGATGGAAGAAGACCTGTGCCACCAAAATATGAGGTATCCTGATAGTGCCTTGGCCTCCTTCCCTTCTGTTCCAAAGCAAATCACTTAGAGAGCCGTAATCTCTTAAGTGCTCTGACAAGTGAGAAGAGCACAGAGGTGACCCTCACCTTTGCATTCCTTCCACTTTTAACAGGATTCCCATAATCCTCCTGGTTCAGAGGCTTATGGCCATCTGCACAGGACTGTATGCTTCCTGATCACCAAGACTGTTTGATTCCAACCCTCTATCTCAGTTCATACTGGAAAAGGATACAAGGAACTCCTTTAAAAGCAAAGATGGATGGTTTTAAACTGTTTGCAGGTTAGTTGCATTTTTGGTGGAACACACTAATGTACTGGAATATTTCACTGTAAAACATTTGCTCATCAAAACTATTTGATGGATTTCTTCACTATGATCAAGTAATTCACAATAAGTTATCTGAAATTAGTAGTTGTCCTGTGAATAATAAAACATGGTAATGGGAATATCGGGGTGAAATCTCATGGAAAATCCACTGATTCTTTACATCAGCAATCTTCAAGTGCATCAGGTAATGTTTTGATATATCACAACGTACAAGCTGTAAATAAATATTTTCTTCTTACCTTCCAGCAAACACTACGGAACCTGCTGCTTTTCAGCTGCCCATTAATCCCCTTCAGCCGTATTGTTGCCAAGTAATTGTTGTTTACAAATAATTCTTGCCATTCTTTACTGCATGGAATGAACAAGAGAAAAAAAAACTTTTAAAATAATTATTAAAGACTTAGCTGAATGAGAAGTAATATAACATGCAGTAATTTGGGGTAAACAAAAGGAAAGGAAGTTTTAAATGTATATATTTAGCAGTGTGCTATTTCTAAACGCATGGTTGTCTTTTTGGACACATTTCTTCTGTGGATTTAATGAATATGTAGATCACTGTAATTATGCCAGCTACTGAAATTCATAATGTCTGTGGAGGCTATTCCATTTCCTCTAAAATGTTGGTACTGCAGTTCAGTGAATAAACAAGAAAAATGAATATTAATATAAGCACATTTGGGTTTCACCCACAGATAAAACAATACCCCTTTAAAAGAATACCTAATTCCAAAATATGGAATGAGTTAGTATGGTATTGACTATTATGTTTTCACATGACACATTTGCCTAAATTAAGCTTCTTTTCTTCATAACATCAAGCTGGGCAGTTAAGCGTAAGAGAAGATGACTTCTGTTAACTTTTAGCACTGTTTACTATTGCAATCTCTTCCACTTCTTTCTACATGATCAGTTTTAAAATTTTAACAGGTGCTAGCAAATTTAAAAAAATAATAAAATAAAAAAACTTCACTGTATAAACTGTTAAAGGCAAGCTTGAGTACCTTGCAGTACCTACGGCTGACTAGATAAACAACCTAAATATGCCTCCTAGGCACAAAGACACCAGGGGCCTAACACCTGTGCTTCATTAATGTACAAGTAAATCTACTCTACTGGGAAACAATTGGAAATTAATTGTCCCAAACCATTTAGTGAATTTGAATACAAGAATTAAACTATATTTCCTCTGTTTTCCACTGAGCTGAATCTCTGGAACACTACCACCCACCTGAGGAACTACAGTGAATAGCCCAAAGACTTTTTTGAGTCATGGAAATGTCAAAGATAATTTGAGTAAAAAATGAACTGAAAAACCTGAAAACATCTTGCAATATATTTATATGAGAAATATGAGAGAACCCTTGGTTTGTGGAGAAGTAAGGTGAAGGTATTAAGTAAATTGTGATACCAGGATATCATCTCTCATTTGTTAGGTAGCAGGTACAATGTACATATATTTGTGTAGTAATAAAATATAATTCACTTGCCTATATTTTGCTGAATAGACTTAGTCCACTTTGGTGAGAAGTGACATTTAGTTTTTAGGGACCATTCTACTTTTTTGGATACAAATTCAAAAACTCAATTTGTGCTTATAGTGAGAATTCTTTCATTTCATTCAATTTTTCCCCACCAGCCAACAACTAGAAGCCTGTTCCAACAAATGAAGGGTCCAGATGAAGTCTTCTAAGTGCCTACGACTTTATATTATTTCTACTTCCATGTTGGTAGGAAAATTTCAAGAAATGGTCAAGATTGGCTGTGACTCCAAATGTGAATATCAAATTTTTGTTTGATGCGAAGAATCACTCAGAATTGACCTAGTCACGTGAGGATATCTCACTTTAGTTAGCCAAATACAAGTTTATACAAAAGGCATATTATATGGAGATGGCATCTTCAATTATACATAACTGAAAGTTCTGGAGTAGTCCTCAATTTGCATTAAATGATCGTAGTATAAAACTTTGCACTGCTGGTTAGGACTGTTAAATCAGACTAAACACTTTTGTTGTACAAATTAATGTGAAACTCCCAAGAAACAGCTTCTTCCATCCATAGGGTATTTGAAGTTAAGCTGGTATGAATTTTGCATTGATTTTATGTCCAAATGCCTTGTTTGATCTTTGTTATGCTGTTACACTGTTCTATTAATAATAGATCTTCCTGATTAAGTACCCCTGATTTTATATTGCTGTGGTTTGTCAGCGTGTGTTATCTTCTTTTATATAATGGTATATTCAATAATACTTAAATTACACTGGTCTACAGCAGAGGTCCCAATATTTAAATTTTTGAAAAGTGTTGTGGCCGTTTTTATAAAATGGTGGTCACTGGGTGAATAGTTGTCAACAATTCAGAAAATTGACTTGGTGGGCACAGCTGGTCACAAAACACTCATTTCTCAGAGGATAAACAGCTCAGAAAGTAGGAAAAGGACCTTGCCAAGCATCAAAGTAACAAACTAGAAATGTAATCCAAGCTCCAAAACACAAAGTTGCTCTTCCGAACCCATCCTTTTCTGCTCCAACACTAGTTATCTTCCCAAGAAAATGAGTACAGTTAGGGTCTGAGCACTAAATACCAAATTACACATTTTACAAGTTCAGAGAAATATACTATACACAAACACAGTGAAACACAGGCAGCACAAGCAGAACACTCTTCATGCTCCTCAACTTCTTCTGGTTCTCTAGGATGCCATTATTCTTATTTCATTTCTATACCTTCCACTTGCTGAAGCTCTCTGGATAGTAACTAAAAAAATACAATAAAATAAAAATTGGGAGCACCAGGAAGTGAGACAGGCCCCAAGAGCTATCTGTGTGTCCATGGCCAGGTGTAGCACTAGTTATTGAAAAGTTCCAGGGCTTATGCCCAAAGGACAAAAAAAAAAAAAAAAAAAAAAAACCTGCACAAATTTGCACATGCTAACTTATCAATGAAAGTACATGTGAATAATTTGTAATTATTTCTATAATTTGAAGTTTACAGAAGGCAAGTTAATTAACTTACTTGCTTTCAGGACAGAACTATAAAAGTTCCCAAATTCTGTTTACATAACATTCCCTCCATGTACCCATACGTTATGTGAGTCATCATCATCAGGACTAGGAAAATTAATAAACAAATAAAAATAGCACTAGTAAAATAAAAACAGAGCTCGAACAAGCACAGTCTATATATCTTCACTCAGGAAGACCACTACATTTTCCCCTAATTTACATTGCAATCTTTAAAAAATTCACAATGTTTCTAGTGACATAAGAGGATACTTCCTTTAAACAAATTCATAGAATCCTAGAATAGTAGAGTTGGAAGGGGCCTAGAAAGACATTGGGTCCAACCCCCTGCTAGTGCAGGACACTAAGTTACACCATCCCACTCAGATAACTGCCCAGTCCCTTCCTGAATGCCTCAGGTGTGGGAGAATCCATAACATCCCTAGGCAGTACTTTTTTTTTTTAAAGAAAAATGGTGCCAGAACTCACATCTTGTTAATCTTTTATTTAAAAAATTATATATTCAGTTCTTAACATAAATTTAATTTATTGTATTTAAGGCAAATGTTCATAGTAAATTCCAAAGTTTTGTCCAATTCTTGTCAGACAAATCTTCTCAACTCCTTTCCCTGCTGTTAGTATCTATGTGTTCTGTCATTGTGTCTGTTAATATTCTGGCCTTTTTATTAGCAGGACTGGTGGTCAAGAAGTAATTAGTAATTTTTTTCTTTTTTAAATTTGCACTAAAAATTCAAAAAAAAATTACACTAAAAGTTCAAAAAAAATTTCAATTCACCAACTTTAAAAAAAAAATAAATTATTTACCTTTCGCATGTAGTCAATCATTATACACCCACCCACACATGTCAGTTGTGTAATGGAACATAACGGTCGCCGCCCACAGTAAGCACTCAGCGCATGACCACACGACCAATCAGAAGCCACGCAGCGCCACAAGCCACGCAGCGCCATCACAAACAGCATGGACGAAGTATGCATGCATTGGACTCAACACACAAGCAGCCCACATGCACCATTTTAATGATTTTGCCGCCGACCAGCTACTTTCGACAGGACGATTCAAATCCAGGTGGACCAAACATCAAATTTACTTTTAAATTTTAAAGTTACTTTTAAAACTTGGAAAATCCATCAAAAAAAGGTGCCAGAACTCTGTTTCGGTGCATTCTATGACAAAAAAAGCACTGTCCCTAGGTAACAGGTTTTATTGGTATACTGCTTTGACAGTGAGGAAATTTTTCCTGGTACCTAGTCAGAACCTGGTTTCCTGTGACTTCAGTCCTTTATTCTGTGTCCTGCACTCTGGAATGGCCACGAGATCTTATCCTTCCTCTTTGTGACAACCTTTCAGGTACTTGTAGAGTGCTATCATATTGCTCTCTTGGTCTTTTCTTTTTGAGGCTCAACATGCCCAATGTTCAATGAATAGTAAAATTGATAGAAATGCATAGAACTGTTACCATAAAGGCTGTTATTAATGATACAATCAATTTCTCTTTGCATTCCCTATAAAAACTGCAATAGAAGGGAACATGTTCCACTGTTTCTACTGGTTCTGAATCTCACAAACATATGCATGATTAAATGTCTCATTTTAACAAATTAATCCAAACTAATATTTTAACAGAGATAGAATGAGACTAATAATTCTAACATTGATAGAAGGCTGACTAATTGGTTTTATCTACCGCTGTCTCTTGTCCCTTGTCCCTTGTCCCTTTTCTCTCTCCTCTCCTCTCCTCTTCCCTTCTTTCTTGATTTCTTCCCCACCTAACCTTTCTGCTTTAAGCTGCAGTATTAAATTGTGAATATATTCACACTTATGAAGAAATAAATGAAGATAAGCTCCGAAAGGTGAATGTGTGGAGGACCAGAGGAGAAAAGAATTAATGTGAGAAAGAAACCTGATTTCAGTGCTGGAAAACAGATGATAAATTTGAAAAGAGGTAACTGTTTAAGCTCCTTAAATTGAATATTAGAGACAAAATGAAGATATTAAACATTAATGGACTGAACTTTCCTTTCAAGAGAACTAGAGTAGTGTTTCATGAGTCTAAAGAGTATGTTTTTTGAATACACTGTCAGAAAACCTTTCAAAGAATATGCAGAATTATTTGGGTGCATGGTAACTGCAGCAAGAATTGCAGTTGCTCTTGGATGGAAATAATCAGAGCCCACAACAATTGAAGAATGGATATATGGACTGGTGGAGTATGTTGTGATGGCAAAGTTGACTGGTTGCATAGACAGAAGATTGCTAGAGGAATCTGATGATAAATGGAATTTTACTGAGTTCGTTAGTGGGATCTGAGGAGTCTAGAAAAG